ATATAATATAAGCTCTGGCGGACTTGGTTCTATGGTAGGTCTTAAAGGGTTAAAGGAAAAAGCTCGAAGCTTTTTGACGTACTTAGTGTTTTTGCTGCGTGCTGCTGCTGCTGGAACACCAGGGGGCGCCGTCATGGTGGCGGAGATGAGCTTCACGTAACTTTTGGGGAACCAGCCTCTTTGTCCGGTCTGCAGTTCACCCAACCACCACATGTCCTGCTGCTCCAACACTGTTATTATCTGCATCAAATAAAAAGTTCAGTTATTACGATTAAAACGCAACAAAAAGAGAAAGAAATTAGTAACCCGGAGATCTCTACCTCGTTTTTGTTGAAGTTTAGGTGGTTCTCCTTCTTGGCTCTCCAGGGATACAAGGCCTGAGCCTGAAGACCCTCGACCTTCTCTCCCTGAGAGACACGGAGAGTCACAGCCGTCACGCTCAGCAGAAAGAGATGCAAAACCAGAGAAATATTGTTTCTGTCGTTACCTGTCCCAGTACGGGAGAAGGAGAGGAACCTGTCGTCATGGTGGCGGGAGTGAAGGCGGAGCGTTGCCGCAGCTGTGCCGAGGGAACGCTCAGAGATGGATTCTGACTGGCCGAAGAGGTCGGCCACGCGTCCCAGCCCTCGCTGTCTGATTGGCTGGTTGTGTTTGAGGGCCAGCTGGAAATATTGCGAGCATGGATATTAATATGATGTGACCGACGTGTCTGTGGGTCAGTAACGGACAAACAAATCGTCAAATGTCAGCGAATCGGACTTTGATGGCACTTACGTTGTGCTGAAGTCCGCCCAGTTGCTGTTAGAAGAGGACGTGGTGGAGGAGGCGGCGTGTCCTGGGGCGGGAGGGGGCGTGGTCATCGGCTGCTGGGTCGAGGAGGTCGTGGCTGAGACTGTGGAGCGCAGCGTGATTGGCGCTTCACTGTCGGGTATACGCTCTGCATAATTGGCAGGAAACCAACCGGTCCGCCCTCTGAGCTCACCTCCCAGCCAACCGGGCTCACCTGTTTGCGACTCATCGACCTATCAGAGCGCAGGGACGGGATTAGGACAGCTCTCGTGGCACGCAAGGGATAGAGATGCACGTGTCATGTTCGTGGTGGGAGTGGCGCAAACAATAACAACGGTGGAAACAGCAGCTGATCAGATCCTGATTAGTGGACAAATGATGCGAAAAACAACACGAGGCGCAAAAAGTCCCACGACTCTGCCCGAAAACACCCGATTTAAATTTGGCCCCTAAGCATCCTTGTGCAGCTCTGACATTAGAACATCCTCAAACAGAGCAGCGCACCATGGGCAGGCACGTATTTTAACAGACAGACAGAACAGGTTTACTGCTACAGTGGCCTTGAGGTGGATTTTTAACAGGTAACTGAACCATAACTGAAAACCACAATTAACTACATCTGTAAATTTTAGGATATTTGCCATAAATATAAGAAAAAAACCACAGAGCCATTAAAAAAGTATTTCTGTATTAAATAGAGATGAAAAATTAGCAGCTAAACTAAATCTTTTTTTGACTTCTTGGCCACACCGGCACAGTCTTTGCTCACTCACAGTCCAGTCTCAGATTGGGCTCCCTCTACCAGAATGTATTAAATTTGCTGCTGCACTGAAACACGTGAGGATGCAGTAGAAACAAGCTCCTAGTGACCAATCTAAAGGTAGGAGGAGTGC